AATACCTTAACAAAAAGCAACTTGGGGAGAGAAAGGGCTTATTTTATCTCACAACTCTAGGTTATAGTCATAGCAGCAAGAGCTCGAGACAGCTGCCGTGTCTCATCCACAATCGAGAGCAGGGGAAGGATTAAGTGTGTGCTCGCTCACTTGTCTGCTTTCTTGTGCTCAGCTCAAACTCTCCACTCAGAGTTCTGCACCCCTTGTCTAGAGTGGTGCTACCCTCAGTGCGATGGATCTTCCCACATCAATTAATTTACTCAAAACAATCCCCCACAGACATGCTCACAGGCAAAGGCAATGTAGTCAATCCCTCATTGAGACTGTCTGCTCAGGTGATCCTAGGTTGTGTCAAGTTGACAAAGCTAATTACACACCCTGCTGACTTTATTTCACAGGTGAAGAACTGAAAGCCTGGAGAAGTGATAATGGCTGTCCCAGGACCACACAGTGAGACTTGACACTATGGATCTGGATTCTCTCAACATTGCTTACATAATACTGATTGTGGTGGTTTGAATGAGAATGACTCCTATAGGTTCATACATTTGAATACTTGGCTGCCTAATGGTGGAACTATTTGGGAAAGATTAGGAGGTGTGGCCTTGTTTGAGGCAACATGTCCCTGTGGGTGGGCTTTTAGGTTTCAAAAGTCCACACCACTCACAGTTAGCTGGTGAGAGAGGTCCTTCTGTCTATGTATTGCTTTTATTTGTTAATGAGTAAAGAAACTGCCTTGGCCTGTTGATAGGGCAGAACTTAGGAATGCGGGGTCGTGGGGAACTGGACTGAATGCTGGGAGAAGGAAGGCAGAGTTAGGAAGAAGCCATGGAGATGCAGGAGACAGACGCTGGGAATTTTACCCAGTAAACCACTGCCACATGGTGATACACAGATTAATGGAGTTGGGTTAAATTAATATAAGAGTTAGCCAACAAGAAGCTAGAGCTAATGGGCCAAACAGTGATTTAATTAATATAGTTTCTGGGTGATTATTTCGGGTCTAAGCTAGCCGGGTGGCTGGGACAAACAAGCGACCCTTGCCTTAACAGTTATGTCTCGTTACCTACCACTTCGCATACCATCTAAGGACTCAGCTCCCACTCCTGCCTGCCTTCCTGCTGCCATGCTCCCCACCATGATGGCCTATGGAATTGTAACCCCCAATAAACTCTTTCTTCTATAAGTTGCCTTGGTCATGGTGTCTTTTCCCACAACAAAAAAGTGACTGATACAATGTGTACCCGCTGATATACTGCCCCCACCTTCTAGCTGATTGGCTTGGATGGAAGCTGTCAAATCCATCTTGCTTTTTAACCTGATAAGTTTTTGGAATGTGCAGCCCACCATGGGAATGAATAACTGTAAAGGAATTTTCATCCCCTGTCCCACAGGGCTGGGCCACTTTCTGCCTCACTGGAGCTGCTTCTGAGGGAGACTTGAAGGCAAATTTATTGGATGTTGAGAGTGACATGATCAGCTGAAACTTCTGTACATCCTTAATGACAGAGGAACACCCACTGGCATCTGCCTCCTTTGAGGGAGATGGCAAGAACTGGGAAACTTATTTTGCTGGTTGCCATGGCAATTCTTTGCAATGTCAGCAGAAATACTCCACAATACACACAAGTTAGCAGAAAGCCTCCCAAAGTCTTCAGCTCAGAATCACTCTCATCCCTAGATTTGGGCATCACTGAGACTTGACCCTGAAATTCAAGAAAAGAAACATGCACTCCATGCAATTCTTTTCTCTCTCCTCCTCTTACCAGGGCTCAGAGGTGAAATGAAGTCCAACCACCTCTCCAGGTAAAGATGCGTGAGAGTAGGTGGGATTGAAAAGTTATTGCACCATTGATCCTCTTTGAATAGACTCCAGAGCCCCTTAGATTCTAACTCTAAAGCAACATTTACCACTTCTAATCCTGACTATGATTGTTCCCAACCTCACTGTTTTCCAAGCCTAGCAATTTGTCTCTTTTTAATTGGGTGTGGCTGTGTGGGGCCACACACTTCCATGTGTGTATTGTGGGGTGCATGTGGAGTTCAGAGAATAACCTGCTCCATCTTTGCTTCTACCTTGTTTGAACATGGTCCCTTTGTTGTTTACTGGTGCTTACCTCAGGCTAGCTTCTGGGAGTCCTGTCTTTACTCCTCACCTTCCCTTAGGAGCACTGGGATTACAGGTGTCCTGCCAAACCTGACGTTTTATATGAGTTCTGAGGATGCAAATTCGGGTACTCATGCTGACACAGCAAATGCTCTACCTACTGAGTAATCTCCCCATCCCATAATTCATCATTAATCATTTGTATCTTAAGCATCATTTCAAGTGGTTAGAAAATTGAATTAGGAAATATTGAAAAATAAAACTTACCAAGCACCTTAAAAATATTTCCATGCATAGACAACAGAACAATTCTACCCTTGCTGACAAGCAGAGCCAAGCTACAGCTCAGTAAATCCAGAACTGTTCTGAGTAAGGACCCAGGATCCAACTACAACTCTGTCAATTACAATCTGTGCATATGAAATGTGAAATACTTGCAAGCTATAAACTTTACAGGAGGGAGCTTATTTCTAGGATAACTTGGTATTATAAGAACTTGCTCACTTCTTTTTTAGACCTGCTAAGAATAGTGTATCTGGGTTCTTTGCAAATGTAAATATCATTTTCAAATGCTCGTACTACCACCACCTTGTGGGGTGTGATTTCTTGTGGAGTAATGAAGGGATGTGTACACCTGTCACTACGTAGACATTTGCTTGTATGCAGATGCCTATGCTAAACTCTTCCTTTGCTGTTGTGTGAGGCAGTTTCTCCCTTCTGAATCCATCAGGGTCTCGGTTTAAAGCAACAGAAATGACTGGGTAGCAGAGATATAGAGTTGCAAAGGAAAAATGGTAGGGTGAGGTGCAGGGAAGCCATATGGATGAAACTTGAGAAATAGGCAGAAATCCAGGGAGCACTGAGGCTGCTCACTATGACTCATAGCAATACGGTCCAGTCTCTTTAGGATGCTGTTGAAGTCACCATCACCCTGAGCAGTGTCCTGTCCAGTCTCAGGCCTTTATGCCACTTTTTCTGGGGATACAAAGTCTCCAGGATGAGCTTCCGATAGGTTGAATTCTGCTCCAAGGATTTGGGGTGAACTGTAGGTGAAACAATCTGAGAAGGGTTCTGGCCTGAGGAATTGCCAGCTTTCACAGAGCAAAAATTAACCCTCCCCTCAAGATGTGGGGGTAGAGAGGCTGGAGATATGACTCAGTGGTTAAGAGCAGATTCTGCTCTTGCAAAGGACCTGAGTTCAGCACCCAAGCGAGGTGACTTACTCCAGCCTGTGACTCCAGCTCCAGGGAACCCCTTGTCTCTGACTTCTCTCTGCAGGCACATATACTCATGTACACAAACCCACACACAGATACGCATATTTGAAAATAAGAAAATAATTTTTAAATATGTGGAAGTAAAAAATAACAGGCATTTTTCTAGAAAGCAATCTTTTAGCTACTGTTCATTTTGCTGCTGACAAAGGTTTGGAAGTATTATTTAATGACTTAGCATCTTCTACCTTTCCAATCCTTGTACACCCTCCAAGACAAAACCCAGTGACTTACTATATCATATGCTATTTCTTCAAATTTAAACACCATCTCAGGTGAGGGATTGCCTCTTCTGAGGGTGTCTACCATTTCCAGGCCCTTTTCATTATTCGAGTTCAGTATATAAAAATAAATAATGCTAGGTGCCACTGACTTCCAATGCATGATGGGAGAATATCATTAATATAAAATACTTGTTGATATATACAAAATACTGGCTATCATACACTGAATTTTTAGTGAAAATCATCATGTTCTCCTGCATCTAATTTTCACCTTTTTATTATATTGCAATAAAATGTGAATATTTGTGCAGTAATCTGCCTAGCTTCTCATCTAAACCTCTACCCTATTCCTTGTTTCTTTAGAAATGTAAGGTTCTTTAAATTTACCTATCCAGACAAGAATTCTCCTTAAAATTTTCCCAAGCATTTTTCCTATACATTTTGAGCACCAGTAATCTTTTTAAAAATAACCAAGTTATAGATCTAGACATTACAGTTAGAGCTGGGTGTGATGACACACACCTTTAAACTGCACTCAGGAGACAGAAGCAGGTAGATCTCTGAGTTGGAAGCCAGCCTGGTCTACACATAAAGTTCCAGGCCTGCCAGAGCCACAAGATACCCTGTCTCTAAAAAGCAAACAAAATATTGCAGGTGAGTCTTGGGGGTGTTCTGCTTTGACTTTCTACAGAAAACTGAGGCATAGAAATGGCACAGGAGACATGAATATGCCAAATGCCCTCCTAGTCTGTGCCAATTTGGAGGGTCCCCCTGGTTGCCTTCTTTTTCTATCTGGGATTACTTTTAACCTTGTAGTCTTAATTCACACCTATGACTCCATAGACCATCCTGGCATATAGTGGCATCCCTTTTGTGTTATGACTACACACCCCTCTCAGCTTACAGCAAGCTGACATTGTCTTTTGTTTGTGTACTTGTATATGACCAACTCCCCGTGCCAGACCCATGCCAGAGTAAGACCCTAGCTCACTGCTGCTTCTTGTGCTTGTGATTCTGTAACATTTGCTGACAAGTGGCTGCCTGGCCTCTCAGCAGCTCCTTCTAAGGCCCAGGGAGGCCAGGTGACTTTCTCAAAGCTGGCTCCCTAGGTTACTGAACTGCACTATTCGCACTCCCTGAGGGGCATCTCTCTGCTCCTGGGATGAAGAAAGATCAGTTCATTTGGCCACTTGAGGCCAGCGAGAGTACTGCTTTCTTGTTGCAGCAACTTTCCCTACCTGGCTGTGAAGGGAAAGCCTGTGAGGAGGGGGAGGAGCGGCGGGAGGGGCGGGACTGGGTGCGGAGTCTCGTTGCCCCAGCCAATGGGCTCCGCCGCGCGGGGAAGCCAGGCCGCCCGGCGGAGGCGCTCGCGCACTGTGAGGGGCTGAGGTAGAGCGTCCCAGCTGCAGCGCGTCCGCGGATCCTGTAACTGGCGGCAAGGGTCCGAGGTACCCACGGGCCACCGTAGCTGGCAAGGTAAGATACAGCAAAGTCGACTTTGTAAGATTTCTGGCCATAGGAAGCAGCCACCCCAAGTCCGAACTGGTGGCGCGTCCTCCTCGCTCGGTGCTGGGTCCCCGTAAGCTCCCTCCCCGTGTTGGTGGGTTGTGGGTGAGCCGTGGGCCCGGAGCGCCACCCTGTCTTCTCAGTCTGCTGCCGCCGGGCCCTGGCTCCAGTACCCCCCTCCTCCACCCCCAACCTTCGCCGGGAGCTCGCAAGGCTTTGGCTTCTGAGGTTTCCACCCAACATCCAAACGTCTCCCGGGAAGAGCTCGCTCCGGGAAGCTGAGAACCACTGCAGGTGCCAGTGCTCAGCACTGGATTCCAGCACCTGCCTTACGTCTGCAGGTCCCTCACGACCTGTTGACTTGGATCTGGGGCTCAGCTCTGTCCCGCAATCTCCTATTTCCAGCTGTCTTGGGGCACAGCAAGAAACCTAGGAGGGTTTCCCTTGGCCGGGCTAGGAACAGAGACTAATACTGATAGAGCGTCCGGGTTATTTATTCACGACTTACTTGGCTGAGTGCCAAACATTGTGCTCAGCTGTAGCTGCCTGAAAGGGAGTCTCGGGAGTTCATGGGGGGGGGGGGGCTTACAGGGAGGAGAGGAGGGGTTACAATGTAATGTGCAAGAGGCATGAGATAGGTGGATTGTGATGCGCCGAGGTTGCTATTCAGTGCAGACTTGCAGAGATTGGAATTTGCCAGCCTGAAAACTGTATAGGCGGGGGCGGCAGGGACCGCACAAATTTCAGGTGGATTTTCTGATGTGCAGATGAAAGAAGCGAAGGAACCAGAACATAAGCTAATCAAACAGCAGATTACTCAATAGGACCAGGACTTGTGGGTGGGAAATAAACTGCCAGGTGGAATAAGTTTGTCCCCTGATGAAGGAGGTTGGGTGGGCAGTAGATTCACAAGCTGTTAAGTTGTAAAGCTGGTTTTTGGGCAACTTGGCTACAAAGACTCTAGCCCCTTAAGGCTGACTGACCAAGAGCCCTGCACTCCTGGCTTCTGGGCATGGATTCAGGCAGGGAGATGCTGCCATGTGATGCTTGCTTCTGAACTTGCTTGTCATTGTATATCATTTTCGGAGGCTAAGACCTGTATCTTGTCATTAGGGATTGCCCTTGGAGGCTTACATAGTACCTGTGCCCTCTGATCTCTGGGTCCTATGTGCAGACTTCTGCCTTACTTGAGCTTGCCTTTCTATCTCCCAAGTCCCAGAAGTTGCTGTGGAGGCAAAGCCATATAGAGACTGGTATAGCAGCAACAACAAAGGCTCATGGAACGTGAGACCAGAAGGTCACTTCATCTATTTGCCTTGAAGACATTATCGGCCTTGTGATCTCTCTCTCTCTCTCTCTCTCTCTCTCTCTCTCTCTCTCTCTCTCT